GGTCATCGCGTTTGGGTTGCCCAAACTAAACACTTGAGGCTCGACCTCAGTGCACCGAGAGTACTAACTATCTCGGCTTTTCGCTCAAACTGATCAAAGTGTGTCTGGTTTCGCCTTGCTTCATATAGAAACATCTCCTTATACTTAGTTCAACTCTACCATTATGGTAAGTCTAAGTTAATCTCCTTGTTCACCATGGGAAAAAGGGACTAGAGACATCTCCTTATACTTAGTTCAACTCTACCATTATGGTAAGTCTAAGTTAATCTCCTTGTTCACCATGGGAAAAAGGGACTCTCTAGTGGATCTTATAGGCGTGGTGCGATATGCCCATAGGACATTGGGAATTCCTCTACCCACTTGCCCTTGGCAGCTTTCAGTCTTTTCTTAATTCCATCCAGAATGGTCTTGTTAGAGGCCTCGGCCTGGCTATTGCTCTGAGGGAAGCTGGGAGTTAAGTAGTAATTCTTGATCTTGTACTTTGTGCAAAAGTTATTGATCAGCTTGTTATCAAACTGGGTGCCATTGTCTACCACAATGGCTCTGGGGATAGCAATTATATTTTTCCAGATGAAGTTCTTTACATCTATATCTAGGATTTTGGCCAGGGGTTTAGCCTCCACCCACTTTGTAAAGTAGTCAGTTGTTACAAGCAAGAACTTCCTCTGTCTAGTGGCCTTGGGTAACCAATGAGATCCATGCCCCACTGGGCAAATGGGCAAGGGTTAGATACTGGATTCAAGTCTCCAGTAGGCTAGTGTATTAGAGGTGCAAATCTCTGACACTTTTCACACTTCTTTACATAGGCTTCGGCATCCTTTTGCATGTAAGGGTACCAATACCCTTGCAATATAACTCTGTGGGCAAGTGACCTGCCCCCTGCATGACTTCTACAGACTCTTTGGTGGATCTCGTATAAGAAATCTTTTACTTGAGATGGGTGCACACATCACAGTAAAGGTCCTGTGAAAGATCATCTGTACAAATGGCTTTCTGCTGACAGGCAGAACCTGGCTAACTTCAGTCTGATCTTGTGTGCTTCTCTTTTGTCTTCTGGCAGCTTGCTATCTCTAAGGAACATGACTGTCACGCCCCAAACCGCCCCTAGAAGTTTGGGCATGACCACTTCAGAAACGGACACTTAACCTGTTATATATATATATATATATATAAATATATATATGGGGCCTGAACGGAAGCACTAAATATCAAAATTTGACAATAGAAACAAACTTCATCGAGCTACTACTATCATGCCAGGATCACAAACTTTTAACAGACAAATAAAATCTAAAACATACACCTGAACATCGGTTATATATATACATATATACAGACCCAGCCCTAACATTGGGCATATACAAAAACATGAAAGCTATATACATCAATCTTAGATAGACATTCAAAAAGCAAGCCAACATCTTATCAGTTTAACAAAATCAATGGCTGTGTATAGTGCCTGGACACACGAAGGTTGACAAAAGAAAGCGGCATCATGGCTAGGACTGTAACAACCCACATTTATGGCTTAGTCATGTTTGCATGCATTTATATGTTTTGCCATGTTAAGATTGCTGTAGCAACCCATATTCATGTTGTAGTCATGTTCATGTTCATTTACATAACCTTGTCATGCTAAGTATGCATTCATGAATCTCGTCTTGCTTTGTGTTTTATGTGTTATGTCTAAGTGTTGCTTGCATGCTTTGCCCCTTCCCTGTTATGTTAAGCCTAAGTTATGTTAAGCCGAAGTTATGCCAAGCCTAGGTTACGTTACGCCTAGATCATTCCAAGCCGAGGTCATCATCAGTCTAAAAGTATCTTGGAACCCCTTTGTTTGACCTCCACCTTCGCCCTGGCATATTGGCCGAGGTGTCATTATCTAGGCCGAGGTGTGAATCACCAAGGCCGAGATGTGTATCATCTAGGCCGAGATGTTACCTTTGCACCTGAGTGATCTTGTCTTGGAGTGGTCTGACCTAGACCGAGGTGTGGCACATCTAGGCCAAGGTGTGGCACAGCTTAGTCAAGTGTCGTCCTTCCTAGCCGAGGTCATTGTCACCTTAGTTGCTGAAGCCTTGTCCTTAACCGATGTCACCACTTGCCGAAGTGGCATACCAAGTAGCTTGTTAGATACACTTTGTCATAGTCTTGTCTTCTCAATCTATCACCTTTTTGAAGAGAACCAACCAGCCGTTGCCATGTGTCCGAGCTGAGAGTTAAGTCAGCCGGCAGAGAGAGAAACCCATCATTTGTTACTATACTTGTTTTGAAGAGTAGAGAGAGAAGCTCTAGAAGAGGGAGAGGAGTCCTTGAGGGACAGAAGATTTCCAAGCTTGATCCCTAGTGATCGAACTGTTAGATATGTGTTTTAAGGTTAGATTCTTGATCCGCTCTTGTTGTTCTTTATGTTCATGTTATTGGATTGCATGATTGAATATGATTTGTAAGCCATTCATTGCTTTGAAGTTCGATTTTAGAAAGAGAAATAGCATTCATGTGTTCTTCAAGAAAAGTCATGTTTTGATCCGAAAGTTCACGCCAGGATCCATGTTTTTGTGTTTGTTTTCACATGATTTTCAAGTATGGGTACCCAGGTCCATGTTTTCGAACTCATAGCATGAAATCCCAGATTTTTGTGATAAAGAAGTTATGATTTTGGCATCCATGTTCTTCATGATCTTCATGTTCATGTTCTTCCTGTTCTTCATGGGTGGAAACCCAGATCTCCAGACTTCACTTCCCGAGGTGTAGTCGCCGAGATCACTCTTAACTAGACCTCACACTTAGGCCAAGCATCGTATCTCACCTTGGCCTACCTTGCATGACCACTTACACCTTAGTTTGTCTCGTGCGCACCTCGGCATACAGCCGCATGCCGAAGTCTAGGTAGCCACACCTCGGCCAGGAGGTGTGGAACCTCGGCAAAGACCTGGTTGGTACCCCACATGTCTTCCTGACATGTAAAACAGTGTTTTGACTTCCAGCATGTTTTCCCGAGATTATTTGCATGCATGTAAGACTTATTTTGAGAAGTATGTTCAGTAGACCTTGCCATGTGTTTGTAGGACTTGGACCCTTGCCTTGATCCCGACGTCCCAAGAACTTTGTGAGTGGTATTTCTAATAAAGTTATGTTCTTAAGGTTTTGATAAAGCTTTACCTTGTTTTGATAAAAGTATTTGTTAAGCATGAATAATATTCCTATTTTATGAATCAAGTATAAGCTTTGTTTTGAATGGCAATGTATCAAGTAAGCTTTGTTTTGACGACATTCTCGGAGCACCTCTTGAGTTGAAAGTCCCTTGTGCTGGAGGACTCTAAACTTTCGCAGCACCTCTTGATTTGAAAGTCCCTTGTGCTGGAGGACTCTAAACTTTCGCAGCACTCTAGTGTTAAAGGGCTACGGGCCTTTGTAACATAGGTCCCTCGTGCTGGAGGACTCTAAACTTTCGCAGCACCCTTGTTTGAGATATCTCCCTTGCCACTAACTACCTTGTGCTGGTGGATTTGTCTAATCGATTCCGGGTCGATTATTCCTTTGTTTTGGAAGTCTTTTGTGCTGGAGGACTCTAAACTTTCGCAGCACATCTTGTTTTGAGGGTCCTTCCGTGCTAGGGGACTTTAAGCCTAAGTAGCACCGTCCTTTCGTGCTAGGGGACGTTAAGCCTAAGTAGCACTCTTGTTAAGATATCGGCCACCGACGGACTATGAACGGGTGTGCTCGATGCCGAGGTTATGCTTTTGTTTTGAAGGACCAAGGTTATGCCGAGGTTATGTTTTAAGATTGACGTATGTTAAGTATGTAAGTTTTGAAAGACCAAGTTTCGAATGATGTTTTATTTCAAGCCAAGCTAAGTTATGTTATGTATGATTTTGACAAGGATATAATATGTATTGTTTTGAAAAGATCTCGGATATCATTCATTTAATCCCTTTATTACTTATACCATTCACTGAGCATCCAAGTTCACCCTCCCTATGTATGTATGTAGGTAACAAGCAAGAAGCCGGCTACGCCGAGATGTGTGTTTTGCAAGATGTTTTGGATGCATGTTATGTCGGCAATGTTTATGTCGACAATCCTGAATATTATGTATCTTGACTTGTATTTCATGTATTTTGTTTATGTCGGCAATTTTGAAGCTTATGTATCTTGAACATGTCGGCTTGAGAAGCCTTTTACCAAGATGTAATATGTATTTTTGTACTTCATTTCTATTTGTATTCAAGTTGTAAAGCTATGTAAAGATGTATGCCATTTCATTTGACTTATGCACTGCTCTTATGGACCACTTGTATTTTAAATTATTGCTTCCGCACATGTTAGCCCCATATATTTATACTCTGATTGTGTGTGAATTTTGTAAGTTGGCCTTCGGTAATCTCGGATTACTGGCCATCACGGCACCAAACTACTAGGGGCGGTTTGGGGTAGTTTGGTGCCGTGACAGAATGGTATCAGAGCACAAGTTCCTTATAGTACGTTATTCACACACTTTGAGTCCTAAAGAGCATAGGATGTCCCTTAGAATGATTTTAGGATTTGCATCATATTGCTTGCTACTTGACAAGGTGTGCATCATCTCGGCATGAGCATTTGTTTCATCAGCATGATCATGTTCACTTGCATACATGTTCATTTGTTCCTTTTGTTCTAAGAGTCACATCCTGCATACTCCTAACATCATGAGAAGAGGTAGACCCCCAGTTGGCCGAGATCAGTCTGAAGACAGAATAGGCAGATTAGAACGATTGGTTGAAAGTTTGGCCGATGAGTTAAGGCAAGCAAGGCAGCAGAACACCGGCACCACCTCCACTCAAGCGGCGCAGACGGATGGCCAACATGCAGTTCCACCACTTCCAGTACCACAAGTGCCTCTGCAGCCAGCGTTGTATGGAGACGATACATTGACCCTGATCAGAGAATTCAAGAAAATGAAACCGCCGAAGCTCCATGGAGGTATAGAGCCGATGAAGGCAGAAGCATGGGTTCTTGAGATGGAGAAGTTGTTCGAGGTTTTTCCTAGCACTGACGCTCAGAAGGTGTCGTTAGCAGCATTCACGTTGGAAGACGACGCTCGTAGATGGTGGATGATGATCCGAGAAGGCAACCCAGACTTGACTTGGGCCAAATTTTTGGAGCTGTTCTATGACAAGCACTTCCTACTCAGTGTCTGGGATCGCAAGACTACAGAATTTCAAATGTTGACACAGGGTAGCAAAACAGTGGCAGAGTATGATCGTGCTTTCACCGAGTTGGCAAGGTATGCGCCTCACATGGTCGACAACGAGTACAGAAAAGCTAGGAAGTTTGAGAGTGGACTCCGAGGGCTGATACAAGATCAGATTAATTTGCTCAACATGCTGACGTATGCTGGAGTATTAGATAAAGCCATCCCTGCAGAAACCAACCTGAACAGAAGTCAAAGTTCGGGGAAGGACCAGAATAAGAGGCAGACCTATGACAATCGCGAAGAAGAGGCAGACCCGACTGATGCCGAGGAGGAGACAAAGGTGGGCAGTTCTAACAGCACAAATCAAGAAGGTGGTACTTGGCCGACATGTGCAAGTTGCGGGAAGCGACATTTTGGAGTTTGTCATCGGACAACTGGAGCATGTTTCGGATGCGGTGAGAGAGGTCATCGTATTAAGGATTGTCCCAAGGTAAAGGCTAGAGAGGATAAGCAGAGATGAGAACTTGACACCGGAGACGTTTTGGGAACAAGGTAAGTGAAGTTTGGGGACCAAACTTCTTTAAGGGGGGGAGGATGTAACAACCCACATTTATGGCTTAGTCATGTTTGCATGCATTTATATGTTTTGCCATGTTAAGATTGCTGTAGCAACCTATATTCATGTTGTAGTCATGTTCATGTTCATTTACATAACTTTGTCTTGCTAAGTTTGCATTCATGAATCTCGTCTTGCTTTGTGTTTTATGTGTTATGTCTAAGTGTTGCTTGCATGCTTTGCCCCTTCCCTGCTATGTTAAGCCTAAGTTATGTTAAGCCGAAGTTATGCCAAGCTTAGGTTACGTTATGCCTAGATCATTCCAAGCTGAGGTCATCTTCAGTCTAAAAGTATCTTGGAACCCCTTTGTTTGACCTCCACCTTCGCCCTGGCATATTGGCCGAGATGTCATTATCTAGGCCGAGGTGTGAATCACCAAGGCCGAGCTGTGTATCATCTAGGCCGAGATGTTACCTTTGCACCTGAGTGATCTTGTCTTGGAGTGGTATGACCTAGACCGAGGTGTGGTACATCTAGGCCAAGGTGTGGCACAGCTTAGTCAAGTGTCGTCATTCCTAGTCGAGGTCGTTGTCACCTTAGTTGCCGAAGCCTTGTCCTTAGCTGATGTCACCACTTGCCGGAGTGCCATACCGAGTAGCTTGTTAGATACACTTTGTCATAGTCTTGTCTTCTCAATCTATCACCTTTTTGAAGAGAACCAACCAGCCGTTGCCACATGTTCGAGCTGAGAGTTAAGTCAGTCGGTAGAGAGAGAAACCCATCATTTGTTTCTACACTTGTTTTGAAGAGTTGAGAGAGAAGCTCTAGAAGAGGGAGAGGAGTTCTTGAGGGAGAGAAGATTTCCAAGCTTGATCCCTAGTGATTGAACCGTTAGATCCGTGTTTTAAGGTTAGATTCTTAATCCGCTCTTGTTGTTCTTTATGTTCATGTTATTGCATTGCATAATTGAATATGATTTGTAAGCCATTCATTGCTTTGAAGTTCGGTTTTAGAAAGAGAAATAGCATTCATGTGTTCTTCAAGAAAAGTCATGTTTTGATCCGAAAGTTCATGCCAAGATCCATGTTTTTGTGTTTGTTTTCACATGATTTTCAAGTATGGGTACCTAGGTCCATGTTTTCGAACTCATAGCATGAAATCCCAGATTTTTGTGATAAAGAAGTTATGATTTTGGCATCCATGTTCTTTATGATCTTCATGTTCATGTTCTTCCTGTTCTTCACGGGTGGAAACCCAGATCTCCAGACCTCACTTCCCGAGGTGTAGTCGCCGAGATCACTCTTAACTAGACCTCACACTTAGGCCAAGCATCGTATCTCACCTTGGCCTACCTTGCATGACCACTTACACCTTAGTTTGTCTTGTGCGCACCTCGGCATGCAGCCGCATGCCGAAGCCTAGGTAGCCACACCTCGGCCAGGAGGTGTGGGACCTCGGCAAAGACCTGGTTGGTACCCCGCATGTCTTCCTGACATGTAAAACAGTGTTTTGACTTCCAGCATGTTTTCCCGAGATTATTTGCATGCATGTAAGACTTATTTTGAGAAGTATGTTCAGTAGACCTTGCCATGTGTTTATAGGACTTGGACCCTTGCCTTGATCCCGACGTCCCAAGAACTATGTGAGTGGTATTTCTAATAAAGTTATGTTCTTAAGGTTTTGATAAAGCTTTGCCTTGTTTTAATAAAAGTATTTGTTAAGCATGAATGATATCCCTATTTTATGAATCAAGTATAAGCTTTGTTTTGAATGGCAATGTATCAAGTAAGCTTTATTTTGACGACATTCTCGGAAAGTCCCTTGTGCTGGAGGACTCTAAACTTTCGTAGCACCTCTTGATTTGAAAGTCCCTTGTGCTGGAGGACTCTAAACTTTCGCAGTACTCTAGTGTTAAAGGGCTACGGGCCTTTGTAACATAGGTCCCTCATGCTGGAGGACTCTAAACTTTTGCAGCACCCTTGTTTGAGATATCTCCCTTGCCACTGACTGCCTTGTGCGGGTGGGTTTGTCTAATCGATTCCGGGTCGATTATTCCCTTGTTTTGGAAGTCCCTTGTATTGGAGGACTCTAAACTTTCGCAGCACATCTTGTTTTAGAAGTCCCTTGTGCTGGAGGACTCTAAACTTTCGTAGCACATTTTGTTTTGAGGGTCCTTCCGTACTAGGGGACTTTAAGCCTAAGTAGCACCGTCCTTTCGTGCTAAGGGACGTTAAGCCTAAGTAGCACTCTTGTTAAGATATCGGCCACCGACGGACTATGAACGGGTGTGCTCGATGCCGAGGTTATGCTTTTGTTTTGAAGGACCAAGGTTATGCCGAGGTTATGTTTTAAGATTGACGTATGTTAAGTATGTAAGTTTTGAAAGACCAAGTTTCGAATGATGTTTTATTTCAAGCCAAGCTAAGTTATGTTATGTATGGTTTTGACAAGGATATAATATGTATTGTTTTGAAAAGATCTCGGGTATCATTCATTTAACCCCTTTATTACTTATACCATTCACTGAGCATCCAAGCTCACCCTCCCTATGTATGTGTGTAGGTAACAAGCAAAAAGTCAGCTACGCCGAGATGTGTGTTTTGCAAGATGTTTTGGATGCATGTTATGTCGGCAATGTTTATGTTGGCAATCCTGAATATTATGTATCTTGACTTGTATTTCATATATTTTGTTTATGTCGGCAATCTTGAATATTATGTATCTTGACTTGTATTTCATGTATTTTGTTTATGTCGGCAATTTTGAAGCTTATGTATTTTGAACATGTCAGCTTGAGAAGCCTTTTACCAAGATGTAATATGTATTTTTGTACTTCATTTCTATTTGTATTCAAGTTGTAAAGCTATGTAAAGATGTATGCCATTTCATTTGACTTATGCACTGCTCTTATGGACCACTTGTATTTTAAATTATTGCTTCCCCACATATTAGCCCCATATATTTATACTCTGATTGTGTGTGAATTTTGTAAGTTGGCCTTCGGTAATCTTGGATTACTGGCCATCACGGCACCAAACTACTAGGGGCGGTTTGGGGTCGTGACAAGGACTGACCACCTGATTGGTGACCTATAGAAATAGACATAACAGAGAGTGAGCCGGGCTCAGTGAATAGTAATACATAAATAAAACGATGCTTAACTTGAAACATAACACATAGCAATGCATATAAAGATCTAAAGTTCACATAGTTAGTCTGATTCTATGCTAAGTACATAACGGCCTTAGGTTCAATCTTGCAACATAAACGTGGTGGCTATAAGCCCTTGAAACATTGTGGCACAAGGCCCTTGAAGCATGTGGCATTAAAGCCCTTGAAACATGTGGCATAAAAGCCCTTGAAGCACATGGCATGAAAGCCCTTGAAACATATGGCGTAAAAGCCCTTGAACATAGTTTGGCATTAAGCCCTTGAAACATGCATGTATGAACCCAAGAGGTGTCTCACACGGATTCTAGAGGTGACTCACATTGTAACACTTAGTTCTGTGTAGCACTTTGTTTCATTTCATAACAACTTATATAGATGGCCATAAGCCTCATAACTTTCATGGAATGGCTTTCAGCCTCATAATTTTCACATATGTATGGACTCAAGAGGTGGCTCATACAGATTCTAGAGGTAACTTACACTGCAGCACTTAATTCTGTATAGCACTTTGCTCCATACCAGAAATTAATAGGTTTTCCAGACCAAACCGTACATATCATGTCATATCATAAACAGAATCAAATCATACATATTTTTTTTATACTTAAATCATAAAGTCATATTCGTAACATACTTGAATTTGTAACATACATGAACTTGTACCATGCGTAAACTTATAACATACTTGAACTTGTACCATACTTAAACTTAGAACATACGTAAACTTGTAACATACCTATTCTTGTAACATGCTTAAATCTGTAACGTACTTAAACTTGTAACGTACATAAACTTGTAACTTAATTACTTAAACCACGGTATTATTACCCCTGGGTAAGGGCCGTGTGTTACGGATGTCATGAATACTTTACATTTATGGTCAACTGTTCATTAAGTCAAAACGTAACATATCAGAGCATAGAGCATGCTTAGCAAGGACAGAACAGTTTACATTCTAACGTGGGTTACATAATGATGTTAAACTTGTGTCTTCATATCATAGATTCTAAACGACCTCAAGTCCATACGTAACACAACAAAATAATCTTGGACTCATACAGGTATCATTATTCATGGATGAACATAAGCTCCATTTATTCTTAAGAAGTACATAATACACTAATAAATAACAGAGGTTTAATACTTGTTATTGACAGAACAAAAGGGTTCCAAAGTCATACCGACATACGCAATTCTTTCCATATTCATAGAAATTCATATTGATTTCCACTTGTCATAAACGTTGATAACACTGACAAAGAACAGAGTGTTAGTGACAATAATTATCAACGATAAATAAGATGTACATTTCTGTACTACTACTACTCACAGTGTTCAGGTGCTTGATCCGCCCCTGTAGCTGACCCTACACAATTCACGTAATTCAAACATAATTCATCATAGTACAACACCATTCAATTCACTATGAGTCAACACAACATAATCCAACAAAGTCAATATCACTTAGTTCATCAACACCATTTGTAATTTAACATAATTCAAAATAAATCCTTAAATTCCATTTCAACATTCCAAAACCGAGTTTATATCATCCATATCATTAATAGATTATTTCCCCAATTTTCCCTTCACATTACAGTATGAATTACAATGTTCATAACATAGTTCATTCGCAAATTTTAAACATAATTTTCAAACATTTCCAAATTCCAGTTAAACTTGAACACATATAATTCAATACCTCAATTTCATTACTCTACTTTCAATTTGGGCCAATTCATTGGTTATCATAATTAATCAACCTAGGGTTTCAAGAAAATATTGAAATTTCA